TTATTATTATTATTATTATTATTATTATTATTATTATTATTATTATTATTATTATTTACTCCTGTTGTTGAGGATGAGGATGTGGAAGATGGTATGGATATTGTTTTTCCTCCCGTGACAGCTAAATGTAGTTTACGGGCACATGTAAGCAAATCATTTACTGTTGTGCACATTTCCACCATACGCTCCAGTCGACCACGTGGATCAATTGCTGAAATCTTCTTTAATAATTCACGTGGAGATAACAACATCATTAACGAAGATGTTGCTGCTGTTGCTGTTGTTGTTGTTGTTCCGCTAGTAGATGTAGTAGAAGTAGTAGTAGTTGCAGTTGCAGTTTCACTATCTTTATTATTATGATTATGATTAATCGTATTACTGTTTGCGGAGAGTTCCTCTGCCCATTCTGCCTTTCGCACACCATTCTGAAGACAACGAATAATAAATTCATGTGCGGCTGGTAACATGGGAACTTTCCGTGTGGAAAAGAGTTCAAACATCCGCTCTAAAACAAGATACACCTGACGTTTATGTTGTTCACAGAGAGTAGAGAAGAGTTCCTCTGGACAATTACTCATCGCTTGAAAGAAATTATTAACTTGTTTAGGATCCCGTAGATGCGATTCATGATTTTCTTCAATAAAGGCGGCAACGGCTTCTGCATTTCCCAAACGGCGGCGAAGTTCCACAAAACGTGAATGTCTCTTCACTTCTGTATTCGACTCTACGAGAGATGATTCCTCTCTTGTCATTATTGGCATTTTATCTTCCTGTACTTCTAATGACTCCTGCTGTTGTTTTTCTTCTTCTCTTTCTTCTTGTGGATTACTGTGAAGATTACTGTGAGGATGTGTGGAGGTCTCTTCCCGTTGTCTCTTTGTTTGTGCAGGCGACGCACTGCTGCTGCTGTTGTTGTTGTTGTTGGTTTCCTCTAAAGACTTCATTAGAATTAAAATCCACCGCTCTTTTTTTTTTTTTTTATTGTTTAGAAGAAAAAGAAAAAGAGAAAGAAATATATAAATTAGAGAAGATAAAATAAATAATAATAAAAATCAAAAAGAAAGAAATAGAAAATAAAAAACCACAAAAAAATAGAAATAGGAAGAATATGAATGAGAAAAAAAAAAAGACACAATGGTCATTATATTTCAAAAAGAAACACACAAACACACACACACCAAAGTTTTTTTTTGTTTTTTATATTTAATAAAAATGCATAAACACACAATGGCCATATAGAGGAAGAAGTGGAAAAAGGAACAACAAACACAACTATCATCATCATCATAATAACAACAACAATGATAATAATAATAAACACACACACACACACACCTCACAACACTACACCCCTTCTACCCAACAACAACCATTAACAAATAGAGTAAATAGTAGTAGTAGTAGTAAGGAGAAGAAGAAGGAAGAGAAGAAAGAAGAGAAAATGGGGGAGGTGGAGGTGAAACAAATAATAACAACAATCATCCATCATCTTCATTAAAAGAAAAGGGACCACACCACCATTAAAAGAGAGAAAAAAAAAAGCACAGAATGCGAAACGAAAAATGATTGAGATAATTTTTTTTTTTTTTTAAAAGCAAAAAAAAAGAAAAATAAATCAGAGATGTACAGATCAACACACACACACACACAGACAGACATACTCACAAGAACAGGGAGAAAAAAAGAAAAAGAGTCAACACGAACTAAAAAAGAAAAAAACAACAACAACTGAGAGCATAATAAAAGCGCAAGAAAGAATGAGAAAAACAAACAGCATTGATCGTACTGTAAATACACACACAGAAGTAGAAAAATAAATAGAAATACACAAGAAGAGACATATATATATATATATATATATATATATATATATATATAGAAGATCGCAGCAAAAACGTAAAGAAAAATAATTTGAGTCATCTCAGAAGCAGACAAGTACAAAAAGAAAGTACTTCTATCTATATCTATCCATCCATATATATATATAGATAGAGGAATACTTCCAGAGATATATCTTCATAAATACGTTGAGTTTCTCTGCTCTGCTCTTCAGTTGTTGATTCTCAAGAGCACAAGAGAGAGTCAAACCACTACAAGAAGAATAACAACAACGGGCAGTTCTTTTTTTTTTCTTTTCTTTTTTCTCTCCTTCACACACTATTGAGACTCTCCCTTTTCCATAATTAGCAGCAACTAGTACTGCTCCCCACTACCTTTTCTTTCTGTTGCTTTTTTTTTTCTTTTTCTATAATAGATTACCATTCATTACTGCTTAGATATATATACTTTCCATCCTTTTTTTTTTTTTGATGTCCCTCCCAGCCACCTCCCTTTCTCTCTCTCTCTCTATTATCAACGTTTTCGCATTCTTTTCTCTTCTTTCTTTCTTGATTAAATAATCCCCCTATGGCTTTTTTTTTCATATTTTTTTTTTTTTTGCTTTACATTTCTATTCTCGTTCTTTTATTTTATTTTTTTAATTTATGTTTCTGTCTTCTGGAATATATATATATATATATTTATATATTTATTTATATATCCCTATCTGATGACCCTTCATCCTTTTTTTTTTTTTCGTCTTAACTTAGACTCAACGCATAACCCACACATCTGAACTACTGGGGATACATGAAAATGAGTAAAAAACATTCTAGTGAGTGTAAAATCTCACCCCTCATTTTCTCTCTTTCTTTCTTCCTTTTCATTTCCCATTCGTATTTTTTTTTTTTCCTTCTTCTTCTTACTGTTTCCCACAACTCTCTTCATCTATTTTCCATATCCATTCCTTCTTCCTCTTATTTCTCATTGCTGAAAAAGAAAAAAAGAATATATATATATATATCCTTTGATCCCTTTGCTCAATCTTTAGCATTTTTTTTTCTTTTTTTTCTTTTTTTAAAATAAGTAGCCGCCTAATTTTGGCCTCTGTTTGGATCTCTAAAGCAATTACGCGATTGTCGCGCGTTGGTGTGGGTATTAGAAGTTGTATGGCTATCCCCTACAGAAGTACCAACAGTGGACTCCCCTTGTGCCTGTTCATCCTCATCCTCATCCTCATCTTCTTCTTCTTCATCCTCTTCTTCTGCTTGACCTTTTTCTGGATCTCGTTCATGATGATGATGTTGTTGTTGTTGTGTCTTTTTTTTTTCTTTTTGTTCTTCTTCTTCCTCGTCATCCTTAACATCTTTCCCCACGGCCTCTTCTTCATTGACGTTATGCCGGCTCTTCTCATCGTTATTAGCATTCGTATTATCCATATTATTATTGTTAGTATTATTATTATTAGTATTATTGCCGCCGTTCATATCTCCTTTATCCCGAAGTCGAAATCCATAAATACGAGGAATATAATGTTGTTTTGGCTTTGCAATGATTCTCCCACTTTCTCGTAATTGCATAAGAAACAAATGTGGAAAAGTCGTTCCCCAAAAAGCCCCATCCAATGTACGATGACGAGAGGATCGTGGATAATAAATATCCTCACACTTCGGACAATACAACTTGACGGAACTCTCACGCACAACATCACTCTGTCCAACCGGCAATACTGCCTGACCACCGCAGAAAACACGCGGGCAGCGGCCAAACTCCCCTTCAGCGAATTTCTCTTCCATTAATTTTAATCCCCGTTGGGTGGTAATAAAGCGGGCGTGAATAAGACCATATAATGTCTCTGCAGAAGCCTCCACCAGTCGCTGCTGCTCTTCTGTTAGTCGAGCACTGTTTTGGGTTTCCAAATCCAGAATAAGATCGAGGGCGTAGTGGTAGAAAGAAACCATAGTGGAAAGACCAGTGAGATTGAATTCATCATCAATAAAGTCGCGGTCCACAACACAGAAGAATTCATGACTTTTTAATTCACAAAACCAGACAATCCAGGGAAGAACTTCCTCCTCTGCCTCATCATCAAACCCTGCACGGTCGTCAGAGAAGTCCCCAGTGTAGGCGGGATAGTTCATATTTTTTTTGTGCCTGCTAAGAAAATTAACACCTTCGTGATTGGAATACTAAAATGAATAATAAAACTGTAGTAGAGTACGGTGGGATATTCTATACTATTATTATTACCACCCCCGACAAGAGAAAGAAAGAAAGAGATACGATAGAATAGATAGAGAGACAGAGAGTTAGTGTAGTTATCTAGTAGTTAGACATGTGTCTTTGTTCCTGCAAGAGTTTACATCTTGAAATCTGTTTTTTTTTTTTT